TAAAAAATTGCCATGTGATCTCATTGGGAATATATTTCTCTGTTGAAAGGAAGGTGAGTTTTAATTAAACCTCTTTTAATGAAACATTTTTTTGAATTTAACAATGTCAGTACTTTGCTGCTTAAATACTTCTTGAAGTAATAAGGTAGAAAACTTGAAAATAAAAGTAGAAGAAAATACATCAGGGAATATAAATGAGATCTGTAACTGTGAAGATTCTTTAAATTCATGATAATGACTTCATTACTATTTTAAACAAGGCACTAAAAAATTATACTTAAATGTAATTCGGTGCAGTAAGTTACTTGGAGCAGTGCTAGTGAATGTTCTGGAAGTTACTATCTCAATAATAATGACCAAGAGGAGCTGTACAAGGTAAAAGTAATGCTTCCATGTTATTAATATGTTTTCAGTTGTGATTAATGGATGTGGATTTATTCAGGTTCCATATTTTGATTAAAATGAGATTCTGCCTAGCTGTCTGAGGAAATAAGGCAGTGGGTTCATCTCTCATGAAGAATAAGTAATGGCAATGAGTAGGGAATGGAGGAGAGGAGGGAAACATCAACAAAGGAGCCAGAGGAAGTCAGGGGCAAAAGCATTTTAGGCTTCTTACAGGACCCAGACACTAAAAGATGTCACTAATAGGGTGCAGATTTTGACAAGATGAGAAACAGGCACAACCTCTGCAATTGGACATCTGAGACAGAACCTGTCTGTGAAACCCTGGAGACAGTCAGTGTGGCTGCATGTTTATAACCAGGTACTGGCAGGTTTTATGGAACAAGCCACCCCTGAGGGGAATCTTGCTATGAACGTAGCTAATTCAGCTAGATGCTGAGGAGTTACAGGGAAAGATGTTCTTTCTGGGTCCTTTGGGGGGATGCTACAAGAGGCTCTGTGGGTTGAGTAAAAGCCTGTACCAAAAGCAGAAGGATCTCAGTGGTGGGAAGATTTCTCATTATATGTTGTAGGAAGACCTCTGCAGCACATCTTTATGCTCTGAGCTTTGCTAAAAGTTCTGCTGTAGAGCACTGGAGGACACACACCATCAAATAAGGGAAAGGCAGCTCTCTGTGGCAGTTTGTCTGTGTAAGGGACTGACTGGGCGTAGTCTGTGAGGGGACATATGCCATGATGAGTAGCACCACACCTAAGGGTTGTGGAAAGATTTTCAGCTGACCAGTTACTGATTCTGTCCTGTCCAGCAGGTTATTCTTTTCCTGTCATTCTTGAACATGATCACCAGGACAAACACAGACTATAGAAAGCATGGTTAGTTGTATGTGGGTAAATTCTGTGTAATTAGAAGATTATTCAATTGACACTTGGGTCTGATAATGTGTATTAAAAAGTTCTGAAACTGTGGCAGTCACTACTAACCTGCAAAATAATCAGCATTACAAAACTGAACTGAGAGGGTAATCTATCACAGCGGCTTATTCTTACTTCATACAGAAACTCTTTGTCCTGACTTGCCACAAACTAGTGATCCAAGTTAAGCTCATAATCACATTCTTATCATTACATGCCTCTCAGCAGCAGCCTTCTCACACTGAGTCTGCTAGAAATAGCTAAACTGTTTGCTGCCATATCCATCATACACTTATGAAGTCCTCTACGGTTGTTAATTTTAAGTAATGGCAGTAATTTATTATCTGCATTGCTGTTAGGGCTGACAGAAAAGTAGCAGAACAGTATCAGCCTTTATTTGCTTATGTGAAGAAGAACGTGGTTTTACTGCAGGCTTGTTACAGTGTGCAGTGTTACACATGCACTTGTACAGGGAGAGGACACAAACACTGTGTGAAGGAACTATGCAAATGTATTTATCCACTTGAAATAGTTAGATACCTTTTTCAAATGACAGGGAGTGAAGCGAAACAGGGGAATAGGGAGCATCAGTAGGAGCATGCCTGCTTACAGAAACCTGCTTAGAAGAGGAGCCAGGAAACTTAGGTGCTTAGGAAAAGCCTTCCCTTTCTCGTTTCCATTCCCTGTGTGTCTGGCTCCACGTTAAAATCCATACAGTGCTGAAGTGGCCATATATATGGGCCTAGTCTTTCCTAGTGACAACACCTTTTTAAGTATGATAACTTCTGCCCAACCCAATACTCTGAGAAAGTCTCTGCATAAAACATTTTGTGTGGGTTCAGCCCCAGGGATACAACTTACAGAAGTTTGCAATTAAAAAGCCCCTTTCTCAACTGTCTCCAGAAACAAAAAAAACCCTCTTAGAAATAGGATCTGTGAGCCGCGTGACTCGGGTTACTCAGCATTGTTGGATGATAACAAACTGCAGCTAGGAAACAGAAGTGCTTCAGGCTTTCAGAACTTGTGTAGTCAGGGGTCTCTTGCCATTTAAGGCACTTGTTTGTGTTTCTGTGGGTGTCTCTTCTCCCCTTCTTCCCTTCCCCCATATTCAGAACAAACCAAGAATCTCTTGAAGTAATGAAATATAATTTATAGCTTCACTCTGTGTAGTTTATGACAAGCAACTGCATGGTCTAATTTAATAAATGATATGCTGTAATTACAGGCTTTCCTTTTCCTATTAGCTCTTCCCTTTTGTGAGTCTGGCACTGAATGAAGCTGAGGAAGCAGAGCGCCTCGGGGAAAGGAAGTAATGATGACAACTTTGGAATGTTTTTAAATTGACTCCCACCAGCTCTCATGGTTTTGATTTCTGTTGTAAGATTCCTTCTCCATACAAAGTTTATGCATCAGCAGAAAATGCATTAAGCATTTATTGCTCAACATGAAGTAAATAGGGTTTTGAAGGGTTGAATTCTGGAGTTTTTCTTCCCTCTGTAAAAAGAGGAATTAAAGACCCAAGAAAACACCCCATAAACCACACTCACACATTCCCAGGAGTCTTTACCCATACAAAGATGGTAGCTATAGCACAGCAGGGAGGAAAAATATAAAATACAATTCTGTACAAATTGTTAGATTGGGATATTAACTTTGTAAGGTATTCCTTCTCATGAATACAATGGGTATCTTCTTTTGAGGCATATATAAAATGTTGAGATCCACAGCCAATTAGCTCCAACTACATGATGATTTTTTTACTATTCTCTTGAGGTTTTTTTTGTGTTTTGTGTATGCTGACCACTATCATTAGCAGTTCTCATCTCTGGGTCAGGCCCCATAATGCCTTGAATGAGCATCAGTACCACAAGCACAAGTACAGACTGCACTGTGGGAATGGAAGGCGATGCTTTGAATGCAAACCCTAATTGCTCATGTAAGTGGACAGCAGAAATGTTAGTCAGGGCTCTTTAAAAACTCCACTTTGTGAACTGTGGCTTCTCCTAGTTTTGACCTGCCCTGGTAGTCTGCTTTACACATTTTTTAGATTGTGGCAGCTTGCCTACACTGCTGTCCCAAATTAAGCTTCCTAAGTGTATATTTAATTTAGTTCTGGAATGAATATGTCACTTTGAAAAGGAAAAGACTTATGTTTCCAGTCACCTTTATTTCACTAGAAAAGTATAAATTACCATCATAAATACAGATAACACCAGTATAAAAATTAGATTCTCATCTATAAAATAAATACTAAAAGTCAAAGCAAATGGTATCTCCAAATCCCATCACCAAGATGATCTGAACCTATACCACAGAAACCATTCATCAACTGCTTAATTAAAAATTATGTTCAAAGTGCAGTAAATGCTGCTACCTATTCAGTGCTTGCTGAAGTGAGTTACTACTGACTCAAAGCCTGCAAAGTATTTGTTCTGGCACTTACTTCGAAATATCAGGCTCCCCTGTCTGTATAACTCTAGGTGTAGTGTAATTGGATATACTTTCCAGATAAATAGCAAGTACCGCTTCAATAGTGTTTCTTACAAGTTGCCAGTGCAGTAGTTTCAGTTTGTTTACCTTTGTTAACATCCAAAGATAAACAGACCAAGTTGATTTTATCCAAGAAGTGCAGAAATAATAGTAGCAATTTTGTCACATCTGAACTAACAGATCATTTCACTAGTTAATATTGTTAAAAGGCAGATAAATACAGAGTTTGTTTCATAGAAACAGAAAAATGTTCCTTTTAGTTAGGTAAAGGATACCTATTTTTCAAAAGTAGTGTTTTTTCCCCTCACAAGTACCGTAAATCTTCTGGCTCAGTAAGGCCATACTGATCAAGTTAAAAGTACCTCTAGTTCAGAATCCTGTTTGACAGGATAATAGAAGGGGCTTGGAAACAGTCTAGGAAAAATCTCCCTGCAAAGGGACCTTGACAATTTAGAGACGGGCAATCACCAACCGTAGGAAGTTCCACAAGGGAAAGTGCAGGGTTTGGCACCTGGGATGGGCCAACCCTGGATGTACAGACAGACTGGGGAATGAGAGGCTGGAGAGCAGTGCCACAGAAATTTTGGGTGCCACAATATAAAACTGACACTGAGCTGTTGGAGAGGGTCCAAAGGAGGGGAACAAGGATGGTGAAGGGTCTGGAAGGGAAGCTGTGTGAGGAGTGCCTGACGTCACTTGGTCTGTTCAGCCTGGAGGAAAGGAGACTGAGGGGAGACATTTTGGACTTCAACATCACCAAAGGAAGCAGAGGGGCAGGTGCCAACCTCTTCACTTGTGACCAGTGACAGGACTCAAAAAACAACCCAAAGCTGAATCAGGGAAGGTTTAGGCTGGATATCAGGAAAAGGTTCCTTACCCAGAGGGTGTTTGGGCACTGGAAAAGGCTCCCCAGGGCAGTGGTCACTTCACCAGCCTGGCAGAGGTTAAGAAGCTGTTAGACAACGCTCTCAGGCACATGGTGTCACTCTTGGGGATGGTGCTGTGCTGGGCCAGGAGTTGGACTCGATCTTGTGCATCCCTTCCAACTCAGCACATTCTATAATTCTATGATTGTAACAGATCACCAGGATGCTTTTGCAGCCTCTGGCCACTAATGACACAGGGCTTCCTGATACCTGGTTTCATCTGTACTGTCTAGTGGATTTTTTAATCCACATAAAGTTTGGGCTTAAGAATTTCTGTTTCAGAGAGCCTGAAAGGCTCTACCCAATTACCCATTTTAGGTTTTTTGTTGTTTTTTTTTTTTCTGCTTTGGTACTGCCACTAGTGTCTGCAGTACTTTTTCCTTAGGCACCATTAAGCAGCTCCTTTTCTCTCATAGCTCTTGCTTTCTTTGCTTTCTTGCGTTTACACAGAACCACTGGAAGGACAATGGCAAGAGTGATGACTGCAACTGCTATCACTGCTAGGATGATAAAGACTTCTGTTCCATATTCTGTAGGGGAAAAAAAATCCAAGATTCAGTTATCAGAACCCACAGTGCTACAAACTCTTAGCACTCATTTCACTTAATGAAAAAATGCTTTCTATATTTTACAGTCCAACAGAAGTGGAGTCATCGCTTCAGTGTGAACTAAATACATTTTTACTGAATTTGTTGAACTGAAGTAATGCTTTATTTTACCTGGTTCACATTAGGATTCAATCTAGTTTAGTTAGTTCACAAGTACCATGCTAACACCATAAGAATAAGTCAAACCATTCCCCCTGCCTGTACACTGTTTCTCTCCAACTGAAAATCTAATCTAGGTTATAATTAGAAAATACCAAGAGAAGATTTTTCTATTAAATTGTAATGAAGTTGCAATTTATCACTTTTGTGGTAAATTTTCTGGATTTGAGTTCATTTGCCATTTTAGAAGAGCTTTTCTAGAGTGCAAATACTCTTACCCAGGGAGAAGAAAGATACAGTACAGCAATGTGATATTATTTAAGTCATACTGATGCCTTTTTATTGAAGAAAGTGATATCCAAATGTCTAGTCTGAAATGGCTGGTTGATTCACACCTACACTTGCTAACTTATCTTCCAGTAAAGAAGTCAATCTGCCAACCTCTGATCTTGGAACATAAAAGAAAGTCTTATTCTCATCATCTGCTTTTGGCATAACTAAAGGTCAGCTCATACTACAAGTAAATGGATATGTGGTTTTCCAGCATTTCTATGTTTTAGAGCTAATCCTTCAAGCACTTACTATGGCATCTGCTATTGGAAGGATCTGAGGAAAACAGAGAGAAAAATGAAGCTGAAGGCTAGTGATGAGATCTGGAACCTCAGACACCAGTCATCAACTCAGACAATTTAACCAAAACAGTTGGGCAAAACCCTAAAACCAGCTCAACCAACTAAAGATGGTGGACTCTTACTTAAAGTGAGTTCTTCTCATGAGTCTTCATGTTCCAACTGTGTATTCTAATTTACACAGTAAATAGTTTATAGCAGGCATCACAATTTAAAGATGTGGGGTTTTTATTGGAATATTAAAGACTGAGTGACAAACATCACACAATACTCACCATCTAAGATATTCTTTTCTCCACTGGTACAGAGCACCATGCTTTCTTGGCCATTACGGTTTTCTCTGCGGGAGGGAATGATTCCCTGGACATAGAAGCAATAGTTCTTTCCACTGTCAATGTTTACTTCAAAATTACGGCTTTTTGTTGTTACATCTTTCTGTAAAGGAAAAAAATATTTCAAGTGTCAGCTCTTAAGGTAGCACAGAAATTGTGTAACAGAATATAACAATTATTATGGAACAAAAACAAGAGTTAGACCTTACCTTTCCAGAACTTTGATCTTTCCAGTAATAGAGTTTGTATTCCAGGTCATGCTGGAAAATATCTTGAATACTTTGAAAGCTTCCATTAGGAAATATATATGGTGTAAGTGGATCTTTGAACATGACATTCAGTTTGGAACCTTTTTGTGAATAATCCTTTATCTCTGGTTTTCCAATAACAGCTAAACAAAGATTTTTAGAATTAAAAAACTGACATAATCTTTTATATAGGACATATTCTTTTTCCTTCCTCCCTCCATTATCTTCCTTCCTTAAATCTATTACAAGTTTACAAAGCCAGTGAAGGCCTATATTTACCTGGTGCATAATATTAACTATATGGTCTACTCAGTGCAGTGAGAAACAAATGGTAACTAAACCTTACACTCTCCCCTACAACAGGGAAAGCACTATGACTGAATATCTTCTCCAATATCAGCAGGGCTACTGTAAGAATCTATAGAAAAAACACTTAAGCTCAATCTAAACCTTGTTTAAATAATCGAAGTTTCTTGAAAATAAATTTATAGTAAGATTTAATTGGTAATCCTACTTACTCTGACTATAAGGTGTAAATTTTTCAGAGACTGCAAAAGGTGGTTCTTCAAAGTTGTCTATCACTGCAGGATTTACAGACAGTATGTGTGCTGTATAGGTCTCCTTTACATTCCCGAGCACATCAGTAACATCACACTCTGTTTCTGATGTCAGTATGCATTTTCTCTTTACGTCAGATGTCTGTCTGAAAAGAGCAAGAAAGAAGTGTCAACACTTTCAAACCATACACACACACACACACACACACACATGTTGAGAAACATTTTTCCCCTCAAACTGTATAGATTTCTCTCATCTAGTAGAATAGTTTTGCAGGTATTAGGCTAAAAGGAGAACAGAAAACCTCAAAAACCACTATCCTGTACAGCTGTATTTCACAATTCAAAGCAGAATCAAGTAAATCAAATATGATTGATGTTAATTACAGAAATATGCTGTAAGACTCATATATTAATTAATTCAATCTTTTACCTTAATTGAATAGCAACCATAACTAGTGCTGATTTTGCATTTTTCTGCACTTGCAGAATGTATTTTAAAAAATATAAGATGCCTAAATCAGGTGTTATCCTTGATGCATTTGAAAACTATTACCTTAAGAAACATCAGTTGTTATAGGAAGCTTTAGATGCTGATTGTTTAATGTGACAACAATGTCTCTGTGTAGGTGTAATTTGGTTTTGTATCTATGCAAATGCCACTAAGAACCACACAGTAGTAGCAAATTTTAGTGCAGAATTACAATTTTAAAACATTGACAAAAAGCATGACCCATGATGCACTGCTCTGGATTTTTAAATGGTAGAAGAAGGCAAGTCCATTTACTTGCGAAATAGCAATGAGACTATAAAAAAAGTGTTACTTTCTCATTTTACTTCCTCACATGGAACAAAGAAACAGATTAGATATTACTCCTTCAATTATTTCCCCTCTTTTTGCTGGTGAATTAAGCAGAACAAAAATTGTGTGATCTCAGCCGGAAGAGCGAGTGCTGACTGTTTGAATATTAACAAATGGGTCTTCCTCAAAGTAGATCAAGTTTCATTTTTTAGAGTCACCTGAACTCCCTTCTCACTTCATCAGATTTCTTTTGTCACATATCAGTTAGAGACAGTGCCACAAGAGGTGCACTGAAAAGGGACAGAGGTTTGATCTTTGTGATGAAACAAATGTACTCTGTAAATACACATACACAAGAAAGCAAACATTTAATCCCACTTCCTCCAGAAGAGCAGCTTCAGTCAAAAGAGGTGCCTCTGCTGCAGAACTACACCTGATTCTATACTGAATCTCGGGTAAACTGAACTCAATTTTCTGCAAGCAAAATGTCTGTAAAGAAATTCCAGATTAAAAAATTTAATAAAATTTGTTCTTCTAAGCATGTGCTTTTAAGTACTTTAATCTAATCACTCTCTTAAAGAATGAAAAAGCACATTAAGCCATTACACTGGTATTTTACCTGTTAGTCATGAGAGAACACTCATTTTTATGCCACTTTTAGAGGCAGTAGAGACTACAGTACCAGTTTTTCATTAATACACAGGAATTTGATGATGTGTTTTCCCTTCAGGGCATGTTTAATAATGTTCTATGTATTGAAATGGGAGGTAAAACCAGCACAGATTTATTACTGAACTTCATGGAAGGTTTTATGCAGTTCTGAAAGAGGCATTAGGCACTTCACATAAGCTATCTATGTTTTATATTCACAATATTATACAGCTTATATAAAACATATCAGAGCAAGTCTTGACAGAGGTAGACGAACAAAGGTAATTTTTAGTATTACCCAGCAAGACAAAATTATTAATTACTGTGATTCACCAATTAGAAATAAAATGCAGACTCATTTATTAGATGCCTCCCAAGACTGAAGACACAAGTCCAGACACCTTGAAAGACATAAAAAGCTGAAGTTCTGTCTAATATGTGGTACGTCAGATTGAGTATCAGCTCCTTCAAAGTGTCCTGTCTGGGTCTCTCAAGCAGCACTGAAATCCAGAACTGAAATACTGACCTAAAGCTCATCTCTCCATTTCTGAAGTGGGCAAAAACAAGACTAAGCCTGGTATTTTTATAGTTGGACACTGGGAAGGATTAACAACTGGGTTGGTAATTTTCCTAATTCCTAACATTTGGGCGCTTTTCCTGTTACATTCACTTTCAGAAATATACAAACACGCTCTTTTTGTTTTCTTCAATTGCCATTAATGAACATATCATGGTGTTATCTACTTACCCGTGTATTTCTACAGTATAGAAGTAGCCTGATGGTTTTGGTTGCCACTGTAGTATAGTTTTAAAATTGATTGAAGACCAAGTTATATTGACTGCTGTTGGTGGTGGTTGTTCTTCATAGTCTTTAAATACAAAACAGAAAAGAGTGCTATCAGTCATATTTTATATAATTCCTGTTTCCCTGCAGTCATTATTCAGTTAAATGAAGCAGTTGCCTTTAATTGCAACTTGGAAACGTTTTCTTGGGGGAAAAAGGCTCAGTCCTGCCCTTACAAAAGGACTGCTCATCTTACTAAAGGAATATGTCCTGGCAGAAGTGAAAAATGAGAAGAAAATTCTTTTCTGTCTTGTAACTCCGAATAGATAAATTAATTTGGAACTCTGTTTAATGCTTCCTTTTTGATCCATGATCTTTGCAGAAGGTACAAAAGCTTGAACATGCACGAGAATGTTCGAGCACTGAACAAACGAGGCACAGTCCAAAATCATCCTTAGTTTTACCTGCTGCAGAAAGCGTTAGCCCCTGGATTCCCGTTGACATATTTTAGAAAGATAAAGTCTTTTTAAAAATCAGTGGTTACCCCACACACCTACAATATCTGAGAGGGGCCACTCCGGGATGAGCTCGTGTCCCGCTCAAGCAGATGGGCTGCCAGCCACAGCTGCTTCGGGGAAATGCCTGGGAAGAAGCCGGGCGGGAAAATCCCTCTCACCCCTGTAACCTCTGGAAACCCTTCACCGTTTACTTCTCCACCTCTTCCACAAGCTCGGAGCTGGGAACGAGGGGAGGAAATCTTGCGACTTCACTGCAGCTGCCGACCCCCGAGGCCGCCCCCGCTCCCCAGCACGGCCGCGGCCGCTGAGGAGCCCGCAGTAGCGATCAGCCTCGGTGGCCCGAGCCAATGTCG